TGTTTCCCCCCCCCCCCCCCCCCCTTCCTTTGCACTTTATACAAATTTAAAACATTTTCACTGCATCTTATACACTTAAAATCTACTAGGTGCTTTGCCAACTGGACAAATTAGGGGACCTCAGCTATGTAAATGCCTTATTTGGAACTTGTAATGTCTTTTGGATTTTTTTTTTTGAGAGGGGTGGGTTTCTGGGCCAACAGGATGGTCCAGTAGGTAAAGGTGCTTGCTGCCAAGCCTGATAACCCGAGTTTAATCCCTAGATCCCCCTCTGGAAGGAAGAGAATTGACTCTTACAAGTCGTCTCCTGACCTCCACATGTGTGCCATGGCCCACGTGTGTGCCGGCATCCGCACGCGTGCCCACATGCACACTCAATAAACAAAAGAAAAATTGAAACAGGGTCTCCCTCCCTGTGTTGGAGTCCTAGGCTCAAACTCTTCTCTGGTACTGCGGATGAATGCTGCTGTGCCTTCCCAAGGGGCCGTCTCCATTTGCTGTCTCCTAGCCATCACTCAATGAAGTGTAGCACACCAAGAAAGACTGACACCCGCTGTAACCTACGGTGGGTGCTGTGTGTGCCACCGCTGTTTCCTAGAGATGACATTCCTGTTAGCATGGAGGTCACTGTTTCCTATGTAGATTCAGTAGCTGTTTGTACATTCACAGGACTGTGCAGCTCCCAACCTAGTGCCTGGTCATTCCCCACATTCCATCCCTCACCCTCCACCCCTCCCCACCCCCACCCCCACAGGAGAATCTCCATCTAGTAAACAATCACTCCAAAACTCCTTCCTGCCAGCCCCCCAGCACCCACGGATCCGCTCTCCTGTTCCCGTGGACTTACCTCTTTGGATAGTTCGCATGAACGGATGTGTGATGGTGCCTGATGTGGTTTTGTTATGTATCTGGCTTCTTCACTTCATGCAATACTTTTAGGACCAACCCACATTGTAACACACTTCAAGACTTCATTCCTTTTTAATGGCTGAGTAATACTTCACTGTATAAATACTGTTTTGTTTAGCTGTGTGTTTGATGGTCATCTGAGTTATTTTCACACTTTCAGCTCTTGTGAATAGAGCCACTGTGAAATTTCTACACAACTACTTGCTGAATGCCTATTTATCAGTTTCCTTTGGGTCAGTACCTAGTGATAGAATTGTTATGTTGACTTTTAAACCGTAGCAAGATTATCCTTTGCCTCATGATCCCACACTAAACCAACAATCTAAGAGTATTTTTCATTTGAAAGAGACTTGTGTCAATCTGGAGCCCTTAATCTTGGTGCCCCTTAAACATTCTTAAAGAGCCAGGCATTGGGGGCTGGAGAGATAGCTCAGTGGTTAAGAGCACTGGCTGCTCTTTCAGAGGACCCGGGTTCAATTCCCAGCACCCACATGGCAGCTCACAACTGTCTGTTACTTCAGTTTCAGGGGATCTGACACCTTCACACCAATACACATAAAATAAAGTTAAATAAATTATTAAAAAAAAAAAAGAGCCAGGCATTGGTGGCACACGCCTTTAATCCCAGCACTCAGGAGGCAGAGGCAGGTGGATCTCTGTGAGTTCGAGGCCAGCCTGATCTACAAGAACTAGTTCCAGGACAGCCTCCAAAGCTACAGAGAAACCCTGTCTCAAAAAAACAAGAAAATAAAAAAATAAGTTCTAATGAGAGAGTGTCTAACTGAGCTTTTAGCGAGACCAATAAAACAGATTTTGTGTGTCAGCATTTTGTTTGATCTTGTGAATGGTGAGACAGGTATTTTAGGTAGGTGGGCTTACAACGAGAAACCAAGACCTTGGGGCTTATTAACTTGGATTGTTAGACCTTTCACTGAAGGCAGAATGCCAAGGGAAGGCCGTCTTTAGTGAATAAAAGACTGCACAAGTCCTCCATTGACATGGCGTCTTCCTGCAATAAATGATGGACAATTGGAATTCTAGAGTAAGTGAACCGGCTGCCGCCGCAGCGGTCAGCCACCTTCCTGTCTGCTGTTTGTTGTGTTTTGGTTTTTCTCTGTATTCTTTCTCTTACAAAGGCCTTTCTATTACTTTGCCTCTCAAAATGTTTTTCCAACATTAGTATGTAAATTAAAACTGTCAGCATTCTACACACAGACTCCCAGGAACAAATTGCGCCATATAATTGCTTCCATTCTGTCTGGCCCTGGAAGTCAAAAAAGAATTAGAAATGTGTTCAGCATTTCATCAGGTTTCTAAAAGTCAGCTAAAAGTGTGACCCTAACAGATAATCCCCAAGGGTATGTCCCTTTGACATCCTAACTTGCCTCCATTTTGAAGTTTTTCTATTAAATTGACCTCACAGTATAGAAAACATGTTGCTGGCAGGGCCTTGAACACAAGGGATCATGCTGTTCCCCACAGATCTAGAAGTGGTGAGGTTTGAGGCTGTCACTTGGAAGCATCCTAACGTTTTGTCATTTGTCTGTAAGGATTGTGTTGCTTAAAACGTCTGTCAACTGACTGGCTCAAATAACCAACTGAGGATGTACTGTAGTAGAGTAGAGCCCTCACCATGCATGTGCAAGACTCTTCACAGGAGAGAAGAGAGCGTGTGGACTCTTCACAGGAGAGAAGAGAGCATGTGGATATAAGCCGGCCAGGCCAGTGTGTTCACAGGAGAGAAGAGAGCGTGTGGATATAAGCAGGCCAGGCCAGTGTGTTCGCAGGAGAGAGAAGAGAGTGTGTGGATATAAGCAGGCCAGGCCAGTGTGTTCACCGGAGAGAGAAGAGAGTGTGTGGATAAGCTGGCCAGGCCAGTGTGTTCACAGGAGAGAGAAGAGAGTGTGTGGATGTAAGCTGGCCAGGCCAGTGTGTTTGCTTGGTTAGTTTTTTTGTAAAATTGATGTATCAAAAAAGCACATCTGACATACAGTACCATCCTCAGGAAAGCCATTCATCTGCTTTGAGTCAGGGGCCCATTGGCCTCAAGATTGATGTTTAGGCTAGACTGGCTTTCCAGGGACCCTCAGGCATCTATATGCCTGTCTCTGCCTTCCTAGTGCTGGGATTAACCAGCACAAGCCACCAAACTGAGTTCTGGGTTCTAAGGATGGAACTTAGGTCCCCGTGTTTTAGGCAACCAGTGTACTTACTGATGTGTCTGTCCCAGGTTCTGGCCCTCCCACACCAGTTTTTTTTGAATGACAGCAATCCTGAAAAGGAGTTTTCTTTGGGGGGGGTTGGTTGGTTGGTTGGTTGGTTGGTTTTCGGGGGTTCGAGACAGGGTTTCTCTGTGTAGCTTTGGAGGTTGTCCTGGCACTCACTCTGGAGACCAGGCTGGCCTCAAACTCACAGAGATCCGCCTGCCTCTGCCTCCCGAGTGCTGGGATTAAAGGTGTGTGCCACCATGCCCAGGGAAAAGTGTTATTTCTAAAATCATGGATTAGCCATTGATCCTCTTCCCCAATTTCTAGCAACTATAACTATAACCATGGACTTTTGGTACATTCTCCAGTGCTTCTAAATGAAACCATGATCTAGACATAATTTCAACACGAGTTAAGAATGTAAATTATCGGGCTGGAGAGATGGCTCAGAGGTTAAGAACCCTGACTGCTCTTCCAGAGGTCCTGAGTTCAATTCCCAGCAACCACATGGTGGCTCACAGCCATCCGTTATGAGAGCTGGTGCCCTCTTCTGGTGTGCAGATATACATGGAAGCAGAATGTTGTATACATAAGAAATAAATAAAATCTTAAAAAAAATGTAAATTATCAGCTGGGCATTGGTGGTGCACGCCTTTAATCCCAGCACTCGGGAGGCAGAGGCAGGCGGATCTCTGTGACTTCGAGGCTAGCCTGGTCTCCAGAGCGAGTGCCAGGACAGCTAGAACTACTCTGTCATGAAAAACAAACAAAAGAAGGTAAGTTGTCTTTTAAATTTTATTCATTTTGCTTTTGACACAGCCTCACGCAGTAGCCCAGGCTATCCTGGAATACACTGGGTAGTGTGCTGGCGTTGCAGGCATGTAGATCCACACTGGCTTGTATGAGTTTGCTGTCAAGTTGTCTTCTTGCTCAGCATCAGCTATTTTATTCTTTTTTTTTTTTTTTTTTTTTTTTTTTTTTTTTTTACAGGGTTTCTCTGTGTAGCTTTTGGAGCCTATCCTGGCACTAGCTCTGGAGAGCGGGCTGGCCTTGAACTCACAGAGATCCACCTGCCTCTGCCTCCCGAGTGCTGGGATTAAAGGCATGTGTCACCAATGCCCGGCTCATTTCATTTTTTTAAAGATTTATTGTACACATCAATCCTCCTGCATGTATGCCTGCAGGCCAGAAGAGGGCACCAGATCTCATTATGGATGGTTGTGAGCCACCATGTGGGTGCTGGAAATTGAACTCAGGACCTCTGGAAGAACAGCCAATGCTCTTAACATCTGAGCCATCTCTCCAGCCCTATTTTATTCATTTCTATTGTTAGACCCCCAAAAACTCAAGTATCGGGGTCCCAGGCCACGTTCTCGGTCACCCCAATCACCAGGCGGATTCAAGAGCTTGCTGCAAACTGCATGAGGCTTTATTGTAATTTAACGAGCTAACCCCATGTTAGCTCGGGTCTTTCACCCCCCCG